CTACTGCTGCTGCTGCTGCTTCTGCTGCTGCTGCTGCTGCTGCTTCTGCTGCTGTTGTTGCTGCTGCTGCTGCTGCTGCTGCTGCTGCTGCTGCTGCTGCTGCTGCTACTACTACTACTACTACTACTACTACTACTACTACTACTTCTACTGCAACCACCACCACCACCACCACTTCCACATTGCTGAAATATCAACAGATACTTACTAATACTTTTAGAACTATCACTCCGCTCTTTATTCAATGTTTGTGATTTTTTAAAAGATTCGATAGAAGCCTTCGACGTCTTCCCGACAAGAATATGACAACAGTCGTTATCTCGCCGGACATTTACACAAAGCCAACAATACAACGGTAGACACAATAACTTTTGTATTTTTTGACATACTATCATCATCATCATCATCATCATCATCATATTCTGTACCTGCACGGGTATTTCTATCTGATCATCTCCTTTTGTCAGCGGTCGTTGGCTTATTCAGTTGTTATTTTTGTTGGCGTTTTGTACGTGTGTGTGGGAGGGTTTTTTGTGTATTTGTTTCTTTTATCAAAACTGAGTGTTGAGAGATTCTCTCTGAGATTAGAACTGAAAGTCGGGCTGACTGGCCTGGCCCCTGCTTTGAACGTCCACACACAAAGACAAATATGTCCGAGTTGACGAGGGAAAGCTTTGAGGCCCTATTGATTTTTCCATGAATCCATGGTTAATTAATGGAATTGCTGATGACATTTGCTGAATATTTTCTATCCCAACTAACTAAAAACCTTCCTAACGATGGCTAGACAATAATTCTCGGCCTTTCACGAAAGTAAAAATTGCAGTGCGTCCTAGTTTTTAAGCATAAATAACGTTATGTGTTGATCGTGTCTGAAGCCGGGTTTATGACAGAATTAATTAAAATTTATAGACATGACAATCACAGAGAGAGAGAGACACGAAAGCAACTTCATGTTTTCAATGAAAGAATTACAACATACATCTTTTCCTCTTAAATTAGGGTAATATAATTGTTTATCCGGATCTGGTTTACTTGAGATGTCATTTGGAGAGGAACGTTTTATAAAGGAGGTGACTGGTATGTAGAATCGAATCTGCTCAATCACCACTTGTTCAAGACAGCCATCTGTCAAAAACAACGATCTGTTCAAGACAATCAGCTTTACAAACAATCACCGCCATTATCCCCCTTGCGGTTATTTTTTTTTCTTTACCCAAATGACACTGTCTAAGAGAACCAACAGTCTGCAGTGACTACATTACCTTTCTCCTCTACAATAGAAGTTCGTCTTGAACAGGTTCGACTGTTGTCTCATGATATCCAAATTATTTTTGGAGAAAGAAGTGTTTTGGTCCCCGTAAATACATCAGCTTTTATGATAATAATATGCAGTTCGCTCCAGTGACGAAATCCGCACTCTTCTCAAATTAGAGCTCTGATCTTCGTCGCTGTGGACGAGTTCGTAACCAACTGCGCCAGACCAACCGTCCAAAACGTTGAGATCTTTACATGATAAATAAATAGGCTTCGCACTTTGTCATCTATTCCAATAGGGGTCACCTTTGGGCCTTCGAAACGAGATCTTTGCATTACATTTGCGACTTAGTAATAAAGGGTGTCTAAAAAAAGAGGGCCCACTGAAAGGGTAATAACTCTGTCAACTTTATAAAAATTTCAACCAAAAATACACCAAGTAAAATTCAACCAGGATGACATCAAGTCTGTAAATATGAAGAAAATCAATCATTTAAAAAAAAGAAATATCAAGTTTTAAAAATTGCAAACAAAACTGGGTAAAACGTAACTTCCCATTTCTTATAAGCGTTCAGCTACAGGGGCCTGATCAGCCCGTTCTGATTTTTAAATAATGACGGTTAAACCGCAACAGTCATCACAGATAGATATTTAAATGTGTCAAGAAAGTTTTGCAGAAGTGTGGGGAGAATTTGTTATGCCGTACATGCCTGGTTTCAGTGGGATGGGCCTCAACAAACACGTGAAGATTGGCCTTGATATTGTTGCAAAAAGATCGTGGGGGGGGGGGGGGGGGCGTTGTATAATAAGCCAAAAAATGCAAAGGAATTGTTACCACATTCCCCCAATTTGAGCCCCTCCAATTTTTACCTTTGAGGTTTTTTGACTGACAGTGTAGGAAATAGCCCACAAATAATCTAACAGTTGAAACTTACTGTTGAACAAGACGTCCAAAAAAATCAATCCAGAGACAAGCCACCGGAGTCATTCAGAATTTCGAGTGACGCATTGGAGTTTGTATGCAAAGAAATGGTCTGCACCCGGAGATTCAAATAGCGAATACCTTCCTTACGTTTATTTATAATTTAGTAATATAGGTTTTGTATTATTTTGTTCTTAAATGCGTAAGTAGTTACCATTTGAAACAAAACAGTATGGCAGATTTTTAAGAAGGTGCAAAGTTATACTTTTCAGTTCATTTTGGTAGAAATGTTTAAAATTTAAAAAATTGTGATATATTCATTGATTTGTTTCGTATTTGTTAACAAATGTATCTTGAAGCTTATCCTTGGTAAACTGTTATTTTCGCGAAAATTGACTAAAATTATTCAAAAGATAACCGAGTTATTGCCGTTTAAGTGGGAACTCTTTTTTAGACACCCGATACTTTCTTGAGAGAATATTGTCTATCCCAATGAATTACTTTGCTTACATTTCTCAACATTTGGCTTTCTGACCTTTATAGAACTTGTTGAAATTCCAAGCTATTCTCTTGACTTTTCTGGAACTAGTCTCAACGACTGTTTGAATTGCTGAACGAATCTTACTGTATTATTTCAGAAAGATCCATTCAGCATTCATCTTGAGAACGATGACATTTAATGATACCGGGTGATGGCGGCTCTTTGTAATCTGAAAGTTGCTCGGAGCGAATGATTACTATGTCCACAGTGTGGGAATGATCTTTCATCTTCTAGCAGTGTAAAGAGGTCGAACGGTCTCTTCTGTCTTGGTCAATATGCCAATGGCTAGCTTGTTCTAAGTGTTTACGAAGAAAATTTCAAGAACATTATCAAGATTTCTATGAAGGTAGTTAAGAAAAGCCCTCGGCACGATACTTCACTCTACTTGTTATGCCATTAACTGTGCTATCTCAATTGGCAAATTGTCTTTGCAAAGAGGGAAGGCAAGCTGCTGCGACATTGCTTACCTGTATAGTTTCTAAGGATCTGCCTCATTTTTCTTTTTTTTAATTTCAAAGGCCTAGATAGGAGGAAATAAGGTTTGTGGGTATGGAAACGAATGAAAATAATTTTATGATTTAGGTAGCCATGATCATCAAAACTATTCATCTTTGAAAGCTGCAATTCATGATAGATCCACAACTCCTCATAAAGAAAAAAATGTAAACATTAGCAGTTGATTATGAGCGTGTGTCCCTGTGTATCCCTCTATGGAAAAAAATCCAAATGATGACGTCTGTGTTTTACATTGATAGGCCTAGCACCTTACCGAACTAATATAAATTGAAAGCTATAACCTAGGTTCTTGCTCTCAGCAAAGAGAAAAACGTAATTTATCAGCAACAGTTTGTCTGCAGTCACTTTCTGGTTTATTTTAATTTATTTTCCTGAACAAGAAAAATAAACCTCTAGAGTATACAGTAAAACATGCATAGCAGATATTCTAAATGGAAAAAGGAAGGTGGGGAGGGGGGGAGGGGGGGGAGGTTGCTTGTTTAGTAAAAGTACAGGTCTTTCGCCTAGAGGTAGTGGTGCCTCCTAAATATCAGAGCATAACACAGTATTAATAATAATAATTAAATTTCAATTGATTTCTTGTTCAAAGAATTTCCTTTGCATCACGAATTGACTGTTGAGATTATAATAAAATGATATGTTTCTGCCGCTCTGTGTGTTCTACTATGAGAAGGTGGCAGGGGAATTTTGGTGAGGTATCCAATCTACGCTTTTTTATTTTTTGTAAGTGTTCTACGGCACTCGCAACTGCGTGAGGGAGGCCATGTGAGCGCGCGGGAAACATTAAACATTTTCAATTAGTTTACGCTGTGTTGTTTCCAGTGAATTGAACACCCCAGAAACAAGCTGTGCCTAAGTCATTTTTTTATGAACGGGAAAATACCCGGCATAAAATAACCCATGGACTTAAGTGTATATGTGAGGTAGCGTGGTGGAATCAGGCTCTCGTCAAAATGATCAAAGTGAAGAAACTTGCAGTTTGTGAATTTTAATCAAATTTTTGTTTTTTGGCTCAACACCTTTCATGCGCATTAAAGAACTCATTTCTGTGTCGATTTTTCTGAAAAGTGTTGATTAAAGGCCCAAAAATGTAAATTTTCAGTTACCACGGATTCTTAAGCTAAGGAAGTAACTTATCTTAGGCGGCCATTTTCTCACTTTTTTTTACCTCTGAAAACAAGTGACCTCCACCCCCTTCATTCGCAAATATCTCGACTTGTATTCAAGATAAAAGGATCTTTTTTTCATCGAAATAAAGACAATTGAACAAGCTTTAAGATGATATCAATAACTCCACATGCCCAAAAATTGACGAGAGCCTGATTCCACCACGCTGCCTCACATGTCTGCTTTGGGATACCTTGCAGGTTTTTCCCCTTTTTCTCGTTAAATGACATCGCTAATGGGGAGAGTTTGTGTAAACTATCAACAGATGGGGGAAAGTCTTCTCTAGTTTAGACTTTGGCATGGTTTTGTTTTCAGGTCTTCAATTTTGCAATATTTATGTCTATATCTTTTTTCAAGGAAAAAAAGCATGGATTCGTCCATACCTGCAGGAGTGCACTCCTTTTCACCAACGTATGGGATTAGTGTCGGTTTGCTTGCTCATCAACATGGCGACCCGTAGATAACTGATCCTTCACCGGCTTCAGGAAAACTAACTGAAGAGATTAATAAACGATTAGGAACAATTACACTGGAAATGTATCTAAATACCAAACACCAACAAATGGATTCTTCGGATTACTTTTTTGCGGGGGACATAGAATGCTCCAGGAGTTCACAATAATACTATTATGCATTGGTAATTCAATTCTGAAAGATGATACAAATGCTGTCATGAAAATGCCCCATGTTTTCGTTGGGTTTAAAAACAAAATGAAACGCAATAATGAAAACAATTACAAATCAATAGCTTGACAACTTGTCTTAGCTGTCTCGACTAAAGTGAACGTAGATTTCTATAACCCTTCCATCGACAAAATTACATCATTTAGACGACGAGATACTTTCACCGTGCTTCAAAAGACCAACCAACGCGGGCTGAGAGGACTGTATGCAACGTCCCAACAAACACAGGCGGATATAATGGAGGAAAACCCTCTCCACATGGTAATCGAACTTATGTATTTAGCGTGCGCCTGTGAAGCGCCTGACCGCCACACCAGAGATATCAGTCGTTCAACTCGATGCGCTTATTTGTGTTGGAAGTTAAGATAAAAACGGACGCGAGGTCGGATCATTGATTTGTAATTGTTTTCATTCTTGTATTTCAGTTTGTTTAAAAACTCAGCGAAAGCATGAGACATTTCCATTACGACATTGGTATCATCTTTCAGAATTGATTTTCCAGTACATAATATTGTGAACTCTTTTAAAGCCCAGTGCGCAGCAAAACATTTTTTTCCTTATTTATAGGCCTAGTTGTTTAAATAAGGCTTTCGACGCGAGAACCCTCCACATTTTATACAATCAAAACTGGAATAGTTTGTCTTTCTCGAGTACTAAATCAACGGAGGGGCACTCGGGTGCATGCAATAATGAAGTCACATTAATCTCTCTCCACATCATCCGCATCAACGACGCGTATCTAAGCCTACGGCCAATGTTTTTGGCTTTGGGACAATTGCAACAAGCAGACACGTTTCCGATTTGCTCAGTAGTGACGGATGCAGTTAAAATTGCCACCTTTGAAAACCTGGGTTTTTCCACCGGTGATTTTTGGCGTGTGTGTTCCCAAACAGGCACTCGAGGATGCACGTCGTTGTTTTATTGTTCGTCCATTATTCAGAGACACGTTCTGGCAAGACAGGGAGACATTTGTCTGACGTCGTGGTGAAATCAGGCGCTCGTCAAAACAATGAAATAAAAGAAACCGGCACTTTTCCACTCGTTGGGTAAGTTTTGTCTTTTAGTTTTTAGCTCATCACCTTTTATGTCATTTTATAAACACATGTCTGTGTGGATTATACTGATAAGCGATGGTTAAAGGCTAAAAAAAGTACATTTTTAGTTTTCAAGGACACAAAAGCTTCCAAAGCTACCACAAATTTGCTGCCGTTTTCTTGCTAATCTTACCTCTGAGTAAAGGCGACCACCTCCTCCATCAATCACGAATATCCAAACGTCCAAAGATAGATGGGCATGTTTTCATCCAATGCAAGACGAACAAAACAAATTTAAGGCTATACTAATAGTTATAATATTATATGCGCAGAAATTGACGACCACTTGATTCCATCGTGTCGTGACACATTTATCTGACGTCAAGGGAGATAAGTTAATCAGATTCGAGGACAACGAAAAGGCATATCGAAAGCATTCAATCCAGCCTGCTTACTCCCTGTAGCTTCTCGGGTTTCAGCGGGACCCCGTGAAGGTGATACCCCCCCAGGGCTGAGGTGGGCGCGACAATCAGTTGGCCTCTGTGGGCTCGCTGCATGCAGGAGCATGAGCTCACGTTACCAGTCATTAGCTGGGTCACCTCGAGAAAAACGGACAGATTGCTTTCTTTACAGATTGATGATTGTGTTGGAGATATGTAAGTAAACTGGGCAGAGAGATGGGGAGGAAGAGACAGAGAGAGAAAGAGAGAGAGAGAGAGAGAGAGAGAGAGAGAGAAAGAGAGAGAAGAGAGAAAGAGGGAGAGAGAGAGGAGAGAGAGAGAAGAGAGAGAGAGAGAGAGAAAGAGAGAGAGAGAGAGAGAGAGAGAGAGAAAGAGAGAGAGAGAGAGAGAGAGAGAGAGAGAGAGAGAGAAGGGGGCGATGCGATTGCTGTTTTATGTTTGACGCGACTTCTTTGCTATTTTATTTTTTAAATGTGTTCAGGTTTAGTGATCCTTGCATCGCCGTAAATTTAATTAATACACTGAACCTCTGAATTTATTGTCCATCTCCAAAAAGGATCGGCCCAAATGGGAAAATTTGTATAAAATGCATTTCCCAAAGACTGAGCTGAGCCTTGAACATTCCAATTCGCAACCTTACGATTGTGAGCCCGATGACCTAAGTACTAGACCACCGACGCCACCCTTATTCCATCTTTGGTGCTCTTTTCTATGGTATGAGATCAATCCACAAACTTCCGAGTTGTACCTACTCGTTATTCAGCGAATACCTTTGGCCCTTTCATTGGGCTTGCTATTAATTAGAAGCCTTCACGTTTTGGCTTTTTCTCATCTACATAATGTATAACGTGAGACAGAAGTAAATCTCGACTTCTCATTCTTTAAATGAGTTTTTTTTTAATGTTTTTCTTCCATGACGTCACTGCTAGCTAAGAGCTGCTGCTCTAAAGAGAGTACAGTGGATTCAAACTAACCTTTTACCTAATGTCATTTAGAAATTGATACCCTCCCCCCCCCCCCTTTCCAGCAATCTTTGTGTAAGAGTTGTCCAAATTGTCTATGTCATTTTAATCACTTTTAGTATAATATGTAATAATATGATATACATTTTAATGACATGGAGATAGTATTGCCATGTAACCAACTCCCATTAGGACGAAATGTATCATGTTGTGACATCGAAGGTTCAGTCAATGACACTGCGTGGTGCCTCCGGTGAAAGAGACTTTCAGAACAGGCTGCCATAGTGGAGAGAATGAGGACAGAAGCCTGATCGCTACATCAGTGACAAACACTTCTATCTGCTCAGTACATAATTTTGAAAAGTTTGACGTAAAACAATTTGTATTTCACAACAAGTCAAGCTTTCTCGAATGCAATTTTTTGAATATCTAGATAACGACTCCTCCGAACAATCTTAAGATTTTAACAGAGCAGATAGAACATTTAATTTGGTTTTTGAACTCTTGGTCTGGGTAACTCAAAACGGCCGAAAGTGTCAGATAGAACGTTGTACTTCTGAGGTATCCGGCTGTCAGATGCCATGTCGCGTGACAGATAGGACGTCTATGCTACCGTCTCTTCGTCTTCTTGCCCGCTCAGTCGGAACTGAAGTCCCCCTTCATGCATTCACTACAGATATGTCCCGGTTGTCAATTTCTCATCTTTTTCTTTTCAAATCTCGTTCTTTTTACGTCTCGGGTCAAATCCAGTCGTCAGTGTGTACAATCAGAATCTACGCATTTTCTTTTCTTTTTCCTTTTTTGTTCGTCTTCTACAAGATTTTGAATTTCTTTTCTCTGTATCTCCTTTAATAAATGTAATATCCGAACTCTGTCAAAAACCATTGGAGATCTTTACTAATGGGTTTTTTTTTCGCTTGCAAGTTATTAGATTATCTTTGGGCCACATGAGCGCCCTCTTTCTCCCTCTCTCTCTCTCTCTCTCTCTCTCTCTCTCTCTCTCTCTCTCTCTCTCTCTCTCTCTCTCTCTCTTTCTCTCTCTCTCTCTCTCTTTCTCTCTCTTTCTCTCTCTCTTTCTCTCTTTCTCTCTCTATCTATCTATCAATCTATCTATCTATCTATCTATCTATCTATCTATCTATCTATCTATCTATCTATCTATCTATCTATCTATCTATCTATCTATCTATCTATCTATCTATATCGCTCTCTATCTCTCTCTCTCTCAAGCTTTCTCAAGCTGTCTTGTTCAAGGTAGAATAAGACTTCCTAAAAAAGGAGTTGACTACATTAATAAAAAAGAATATTATAAATAATCCTTTACTATTTGGCACGCTCACTGCAGTGCATCAAGCTTCAAGAATTAAAGACACTGACATTTTTGTTTTACTGTTTCGTTCACTGTTTTTCAAGACAACTGAATTATGGTAATAATATAAGGAATTTAGAGTGAGAACAATAGAAAAGAATACACGTACGATTCAAAAAAAAATTTTGTTTTTGAAAGGGATATTACATTAATTTTAGATCTGAACTAAAATGAAACTTCTACATTATACAATCCAATGCCGAGAAATCCAATCTCTGTCATAGCGCTGTAATGCCAAAAGTTTCGATTGCATCTTGGGAATAAAAACAAAATTAAGTGTGTAGTTTTTTTTTTTTCTCTGTCTGTCTGTCTGTCTGTCTGTCTGTCTGTCTGTCTGTCTGTCTGTCTGTCTGTCTGTCTGTCTGTCTGTCTGTCTGTCTGTCTATTTTTCTGTGTGTCTGTCTGTTTGTCTGTCTGCCCACTCCCTTTCTCTTCCTCTCCCACTCCCTTTCTCTTCCTCTTTTGTCTGTCTGCCCACTCCCTTTCTCTTCCTCTTTCTCTCTTCATCGCTCCCTCTCTATCTGTTTCTCTCTGCGCCACCCCTTATCTCTTCACTCTCTCTCCTTCTCTCTGACTCGCTCTCTCTCTCCGTCTCTCTCTCCTCTTCTTTCTCTCTCTCTCTCTCTCTCTCTCTCTCTCTCTCTCTCTCTCTCTCTCTCTCTCTCCCCCCGATTCAAATCTCTCACTCGTCTCGTCTAACATCAACCTTTTCTTGCTTACGTTAAGCGCGCTCATTTCCCCTAAGTAGCCTCAACTTTCACTTCTAGACAGAACTCGCTATTTACGGGGGTGGCTATGAATTCAGCGTTAAATAATTCATGTGCCTTATCATACAAATGGGGGGGTTTCCCTCTCGAGAACATCGGCCGCTCCAATGGTCTACAGACTTACAGACGGCTCTTAGTATTCGGTTCCCGGTTTTATAACGGCATTTGAACAAGCACTAATGATGGTAATTACCGGTTTTGTGGGCCGAGACGCCTACAGAACTTATAGAGCCTATACTCGGGTCGATTGCGATGCCAGCCTTCTCTCTAAGAATATTTGCATGACGGTGTGCACCAATAGAGCCCTTCTGTTATTGGTCGTCTCAGATTTACGTGTAAAAAGGGGGACCAGTGCCCGATAGAGCGAATACTTTGTCTATCTATGTGTCCATTTATGTACCAATGTATAATATAGAATGTTTGAAATTATTCTGCATCTATCTATCTATCTATCTATCTATCTATCTATCTATCTATCTATCTATCTATCTATCTATCTGTCTGTCTACTTATAAGTTTTGCGCTCTGCCTCCTTGTCGCTCCCCTCTCTCTCTCTCTCTCTCTCTCTCTCTCTCTCTCTCTCTCTCTCTCTCTCTCTCTCTCTCTCTCTCTCTCTCTCCCCCCCTCTCTCTCTCTCTCTCTTTCTCTCTCTCTCTCTCTCTCTCTCTCTCCGTTCTCTGCCCCTCTCTATCTCTCTCTTTGTCTCTCTCTGTCTCTCAACTTAAATGTATTTCCCCCATTTATGATTTACTCCGCCAAAGAACCCGATCATTGGGGAAACAGAAAAGTGTGTTTATAGGCACACTGAGTCCTTAGGCAGACTGATGGGGGTACACCTCAGCTTCTACCGTTAATCATCCTGCTTACATCATAACCAGGAGCTCGTCAATTTTGGGGCATATGAAGTTATCGGTATCATCTTACAGCTTATTCATTTGCCTTGCTTTCAATGGAAAAATCCTCATCTATCTAGGGCAGAAGTAGAAATATTTTCGACAGAAGACAGTAGGGATAACCTGGTTTCAGGGGTAAAATTAGCGAGAAAATAGCCCCCAAAGTTTGGTGACTTCCAAAGCTTGAGAGTCTTTGGAATCTACAAATTTACATTTTCTATGCCTTTAATTAATGTTTATCAGTAAAATCCACACAGAAATGTATTTCTAAATGGACATTAAAGGGGTTGAGCTTTAAAAAAAGTTATTCAATTAAAATGGTCAAAACGAGCTGAAAAACGCTAGTTCCTTCCATTTTATCATTTTGACGAACGTCTGAATTCACCACGATGCCTAATATTACCAACGATAAAATATTACTTGCGTGGGAAACTGATACCCAGAGGAAGATAAAGAAGGTTGTTGTTTTGTCGTTTTTATCGAAGAATATAGATTACAATATGTAATATTATGTGTTTTTTGCATGTTTGTCAGAGCTGTTTTTTGTTTTTGGGTTCAAG